TGCAATGATTGGTAAACATTACAAGTCTCCTCGGTATTGTGTCACTAATCGAACTGCGATTCGAATCGCAACTCGACTGTGGTCGTCAGTCTTCGTGCAGCTATTATTTCCTTTTGTGTATAGAATCTGAAAGCATTGCAACTGTGCGAGCGAGCGTCGCAGACAGTCGCTCGCCATCGTTTGACAATCGAAAGATCTCAATCGTGAAGCGACCTACATCTCTACAGAAATTTTACTTCGCTTATCAAGCTTTATTCCCCGCATCTGTTCATGTTAGATTTATGGAAAACGAGAGAAGAGAAATCTAATTGTAAGATAAATATGCGCTTAATTCGATTACGCTCGGATAATAAATTTATAATAATCACCACGAGCATCAGGAAATTGCTCCCTTGTCAATAAATCAACCGAGTTATGTAGACAGTAATCGAGCCCAGCAATTTGAGCAATTTGTATCCCCAATTCATCATACCTCCTTCCTCTTGTAAATCCTCCCGCATAGCTCGCGAGCAAATTCGACGTGAGTTACAAGATAATGACTTAACGAAAATCAACAGTACTGCTCAAAAGTTTTAATAAATGGCAAAATTTATAAAATAAACAGACAAAAAATAGAAAAGTTGTTTTCACATTTTATATATTTAAATATTTATAAAATTAATATTTTTAAAAGTAAAATGTAATATTCCAACTCTCAGAATTTTTGCATCACAATGAACTTAATGCTAGCGCATTAATCAAAGTTTATTTAACCATTAGCACACTATCATTTGTTTCTGTAGACTGTAATTGTGTTTCTCCCACTCTTTCTTACACATCAATGTAGAATAGAATGCGGTACTTATCTACTCACAATTATTAACTTTGACTAAATATTTACTCATTAGAGTATTTGTTTTAAATTTTTTTATTTTTTCTTTATTTCTTTGGAAACTACAATAAATTAAAATATAATATGTCAACATTTCTTTGGTTCAAATATAAAAAAGATCAACACCCAATGAATGAATGCATTTGGCAAGCAATTAATTCACATTTTATTTTTTTTGTTGTAAAAAGCAGCATTCAATAAAACTTTTGAATGATACTGTATAAAACTTCAAAATAACGTTTATTATATTAAATCCTACCATTATTTTTCGAAATTATTTTCGCATCGATCAATTTATTAACTTCCAACTTACTTATCTGACTTAAATTTTACTTTGTGAATAAATATTTTTCTTTCAAATTTTCGTTTGAGCACTTTGATTTGGTGAATGTATATTTTATCTCATTTCCATAATAAGTAGTTAAAGAAATAAGACCAAATTTGCAAGTGTATGAGATTTAACGTTTTCGTTTTGCAAGATTAAAGTAAAATACTTTTGCTACGAGCTAAACTTCAGAGGTGCAAAAAGACAAAACTTATTTTCCACGTATAATTTAATTAAATTTTGTTTCAATCTGATCACTCTTATACATAGTTACTGATTTGATTTGAAAAATAAAAGTAGTTTGTGGCTCCAAAAATAAATAAATAATACAAATAAATTTTAACACCTTTCAACGCAAACTAAAACGAACAATCTATATTGTGTATTTTTTAAAATTTATTCGTTCGCAAATGCGACATACTAATACAGTTACTTTTACGAATGATCGCCTCACGTATATTCAAATCAGGTCATTTCCACATGTCGAAGACGCTCAAGCCGCTGCTCGAGGCCTGCTACCTTTCCCGAAGGGTAGCAAAAATGTATATATTTCCCTAACGGAAACTAATGGGCTCCATTTCAAACGGAAGATTACGGATGTCAGACGGAATGAGCGATCGCACTTCGCGGTCCACTTCGGGGAGGATTCCTGGAGCTGTGCTATCTGGTTGAGACATCAGGGATCGCGGCGCAGTTCACGCGGAACGCTCATTGTCCAAGCGTGTTCGGCGAGCGTACGTGGCGAGTACACGAGGGAGCGAGTACCTATGCGACGGTACCACTGTCTGCAGTGATTTACGAAGCTCGCGGGCTCGTGCCAGCAAACCTACGCGTTACGTTCTCGCCCTCGAGCGGATACGTGCGCACGGATACGGCGACGATCGTATCCGGGGACGTCCGGTTTGCACAGGCCACACCGACCTCTATAATTCATGTCGCCTGCTGGAAACGCCACTGGGATCTTCATCGACGGAAGAGCCCCCGTGGCAGATCCTGATTGTTAGCTCTTTCGGGATACCGCCGGGATATTCCGCGCTGCTCGTTCGATGATTTTTTTTTTGCTTGAACAAGCAAATCGAAAATGTCGAACAAACTCAAACAGAAATATATTGTGTAATAAGAGTGTAATATATTTCTGTTATGTGTATAGATTTAAGAAATTTTATAGATTCTTAAGAGAAATTGGAAATTGGTTTTCTTGAATGAAAACATTGATCTTTTTACAAAGATAGTTTAAACAGTTGGAATAGTGTAAACGTAATTCGCAATTTGTTGTAAGAGTTCAGAACTAAAAAAAATAAATCGTATTGTACTTCTATCACGGCAAGGCAAAGAATTTTGAACAAAATTAACGAGCGAATTGAAAATATCAAATTCAAATAAAAATACATTCTATTATACATATAGATTTGAAAATATTATTTAAATAAAGATATTGATCTTTCTGTAAAAACAGTTAACAGTTTAGATAATGTAAATTTGTTATAAGAGAATATAAAGCTGCGCTTTGTTTGATGGCAAAGCAAACAATTCTGAATAAAACAGATAAAGATAAATAAGATCATAATAAAATAAATTTTAAAATAATGGATCCCTTCTAAAAAGGCAGAAAGAATTATTATTACTATCATGTTTTTTCACGATATATTACTTTCTAATATTATATTTCAACGTCAAAAAGAAGTGCATGCTGCATGTCTCTCTTTAAAGAATTAATGCGACTGTCATTTTAATGAAATTTTCTGCTTGGGAGGTAATTTTTGCCCTTTGAGATCATCAGTCGCCTGTCTGAGCGCATCAAAATTCAATTAATCGATCAACCGTGCGTGTGTGTACGCGCCCGCGGGCTCTCGAGCGACAGATAAAATAAACGCGGCATAGAGGAAGTTGTAGAGAGGTTTCCGGGTTAATTAGTCTGTCAATGCGGCCCGCTCGCTCTGCACGGGACAATATGCGGGAAAAAAAAAGGAAAAAAAAAAGAACGGGGATGGTTGATTCGACAGCAATCGCGTCCCTTTCGAATGACGTGATATATCGTGCTGTCCGCTACTGTCGTGCACCATGCACCTAGATATCTGCATCTTGTTCGTTGTTTCGCGTTTACGTCACGCGCATACATCCGCAAATGCCCGAGTGCATCAAATCTACGTGACACCGTAAAATTTTTCCAGTTTTTCCGTCAGACCGAAAGTGCGATATTAGCATGTTGCAATTCGCCGCAGGTTAAAAAAGAACTCTCGCTGTATTTAATCACTCTCTTTCTGGCGCCGACTGCATCAAATTATTAGAAAGTCGACGTTTCTAAAATAATTTGTCTAATTGTAAACTTACACGTAGGCGTTTTGTCAACCTTGAAATAATAAATTTCCTTAAAAGTTCTACCATTTCATTTTGGCATTGCGTCAAATAAAAGTAACGTTTATTAATTAATTCATAGACGTAGTTATTTCTTAACAGCTCGATGTGGATAAAAAAAGAACTGGTTAAGATATGACGTATAATTAATTAAAAGTAGGAAATGAAATACTTGCAAGTACTTAGCTAGATTTGTATCTACTTTAAATGAAGAAACTTCACGAAGTATGCCTCCCTTATTTTAATTGTAGATTTGTAAAGCTAATGTCCTTTTCCACCAATGTTGGATTAACTTTAATCTCGATTCAACTTACTTAAAATTAAATAAAATCAAAGTTAACGTTAATCCACATTGATAAATTAAAGTTAATTTTTGCTAGTCGAAATAAACATCACATTTTGTTTATTATTCGTGTAAATCCAGACACCAACAATTATCTGATATTTATACTGTAAAGGATTATGAAGTGAGCTGCTTAGAGATATTCATGCCTGAAACCGCTCGCATTTTTAACTTTTCTCACTAACTGGATTTCATCGCTGTACTGACTAATAACAATCATAAATAATAAAATCATACGGCAGAAACCACGATCATACGGATCTTGCAGACAAGATTCGTCTTTCTGTAGAAACGCGGCATTTTTTCCCAAATACGTATATTATTGTCGCTGCAATGATTTCATTGAAAAAAACTAATGATACAAAGTTTCCAATATATGCGTTTATCAGATTATAAATTTATTAAAATTGGAAAAATGAATTTCTAAAACTCGTATCATTTTAAACAAATTGTTAAAAAATTATTTAATAAAATTGTTGAATAAAAATCTTGACATTAATTATAGAAACTAAAACACATAGAAAATATAAATGGCGTAATGAATAGAACTATTGAATAAAAAAAGTTTCAACAAATGTTTTATAATAAAATCGGATTAAAAGTTAAATTAAAAATTTATTGAGGTAATAAAGGAACAATAGAATTTATTATTAAAAATGTATAGAGTTCTAGAACTAAAGCGTGAGTCGTAAGAATGCCTTCGTGTTAATATTGAACAAAAGTTGTCAACTGAACATCGTCAACTGTATTTCGTTTACTGGATTTCATTAATCCAGTGGTATAGCTCGTGCAAACAATTCTACTATATCTACTGCACAATGTGTACTGTAAGGTGTGCCGTAAAGTAAAACCAATACGGTTCCGACATTCTCAGTTAATCGCAGCGAACCATCCCTGACGTCGTTAAGTCAATACTCGATCCTACGGTTCTATACGATGGTAATTAACAACTTCTATAGTTCAGTTAAGTGTATAACCGATACACTCCTAAGATATGTTGTATAGTCGCTTCTGTAACGAAGTAATTAACATCTGATGACGTAAATAAATTCTGGATTTGATGTGATATTCAAATAATTGCATATTATATTAGATAAATTGTTGGTATTGCATAAAGAATTAAATATTACAAATAACGATTACGATTTATTTATCTAAAGTAGCACATTTAGCAATCCATGTCGGACATAAGAAAATTTTCATTTCAAATTGCTAAATTATGTCGGATTTTCACAAGAAAGTATCAATACACAATCATCGCTGCATTTTTAATTGAAAACAATCAAATTTGATTTTACACGACAATCCATCAAATTTCATCGGCGACGATGTACAAGAAGAGAAAAGCAGTCTTTTAATGATATGATATGTTAGATAATAAAATAATGATTGAAGCGATTAAAGATTGATGAGAAATTGATGACCAAATTAATACAGAACGGTATCGAAATTTGAGAGGATGGCGGACAGGAACTCGCTTAGAGTTCAATGAGAGTTAACTACGGATCAGAACCATTCCCGACGGGTTTCACGGTCGACATCATAAACGTGCAACATGATGATTAAGATATGTGGGCGAGTCGTTATTCACGCTACGAACTCCATGTACTGAGAATCGACGCGCTGCTCGTTTCGATGCAATGTGTTTTAATGATATTACGGGCTCTCGGCGAGGGTGAGCGAGGGGGATGATCACGGCTTGTTGACCCATTTTGGACTTTGTGCACGGCCCGCAACTTCGTTGCGGCCACCGGTGTGTCGCCGTCCGATGCAGCAACTTCGCGTATTATCGCAATAAGAACTTCGTCGGCTCCTGCCGTTCCCACAATCCGTCCGTTCCGTTCGCGCATACAAACCTGCGGAGCCCGATCGGATTTCACGACCGGACGTCCGAGCGGATGTGGAAGATGGAGGTTCCTAAACTTCAGCTTCATCTTAAAATTGGAAAACGTAATTCTGCCAATTCTTCGTGAAGGCGATTTAACTCGAAAACTTGACGTGGGAGCCCGCTGATGAGAAATGAGAACGAATCTTCGAAGTCGCGTTTGAGAGTTTAAGCAATCGACGAAATTTCCTGATCGTAAAAGAAGCGAAAGATGGACTGAGAATGTTGATTTCATTTGTATATTTCAACGTGTATTTCGACAAATGGTGCTTGTATTAAAAGAAAATGAATTCAAGATGTTTTACTTCGAAAATATCTCCCTTTCGACGTCTATTATCGGACAGATCTCCCTTAATATCTGTACCTTGCTTCAAGCGGAATCAATTATCTCCAAGTCTGAGAGCTTGTCACTTGATTGCGTAACAAGCGATAATAGCCTCTGTATTGATATTCATTGCGAGTACTCCGGACTCCGTAATAATACGCTGGACGCGCAATTAATGCCTGGCATTAATTAGGCATTAATTAAATTAATCATTAATTATATATAATAAAACGTACAATAGCTGTAATAGAACCATCTGCGTTCTCCTTAAATTTGAATCAGTAGATAATCACTGACAGCAGTCCCAAGTATGTCACTGGTAATCAGTGAATGAAATGTGAAGTATCTAACCTAGCTAACTTTGCTTTAGATGAATAAATTCAATGCATATGGTATTGGAATTGACGTGTGAATATCGGTATTTTAATTATACAATGCTCAAACTTTTTCTTTGAATTTCACTTATTACCAAGTATGCCACTGGGTAATCAATAATTATCTATCGATTCAGATTTAGAGAGTTTGAATAAAAACATGCTGCACAAGCACGATACCTTATTGAATTTAAAAAAATCTCTTCCATCGTTTATAACGACGCGAAAGGAACTGACTTACAATTGCGGAGTCAGTCTTAGAGAGATTAAATACAATAAACTTCACCATCACCTGCTTCGTATGAAATATCGGCAACATATCTTTTCGTTAGTTTAATGGTTTAATCCAATACGCCAATTTTCAATTGTCATTGTGAACATGACATGCAATTATTTCGTACACTTGCGACTTTGAGAATCGATATGTAATACGGAGCGAAAAACTTCACAGTTCGTTCGTTTAATTCCATTTTCTTCTTTGACGTCTCTTTTCGCGCTCAAGAACTGACCCTGCTCAAAAACTCGTCTCTTGCGAAATAGGAACTTGCGAAGGAGGTTGGTTCGCAGATGCCGTCGATCGAACAATACCTCTTCGATGAAGAAGGTCCCGCGTGCGTGGTGTTTATACGCGTAATAGCGTGTCATTGTCATTGATATCGAGCAACGGTCGATGATTGCCGCTGACGTTGCCGGATGCGTTACTATGATGATCCGAGTAGAGGCTGGGGTCCTGAAGAATTCTGTATGAGGGGCGCCGTAGTAGTTGTTATCGCCTGGAGGCACGGAAGTCGGCACTAGGCTATGCGAGGGTGACCACGCCTTCTGGCTCCGGCGACCAGCAATTGTCGGACAGCCAGCAGCCGATCACCACGGTGAAGAAGCCGATCAGGAGAGCCACAATGATGTAGATTTCCGCCTGTCCCAGCGAATCTGTCCAACACACGCGATATGACGTGTTCGTGAAACGCACTCGATACGTGCTTGAAACGTGCCTGAGGTCAAGGGAGTAATTAAGCTTTGCTTAACGGCTTCGAGGCTGAAAGGTCGCATGCATTATGGAGAATCATCAGTACACACGTTAGGTGCTAATACACATGCTTGTTGCTTCATCCCCTTCAGGTATAATTTGTTATCTCGAGTCTACATATATGGTACAATTGAATTAATTGCATCAGACGTTATACAGCGCTTGAGGAAATGTACAACGGAGTCGTTTATGAAATCAAAGCAAAATCAAATATAGGAATAGCGTAGCTATATAGAAGAAATCACAGCTCAAAAATAAAAGTCGAAAAATCATCTTTAAATTCAACACGTTTTTCGCTTGTTTTTCATTGATGGACCTAAGAGAAGTTTAGTTATTTTAGCCTGCAGTAATCTCGGCAAACTGTAGTAGTTATAACACAGATTGATTAGCAACATTTAGAAGTTTTAATTAACTGAACATCTGACTAATCGATTCCTTGGCTGACAGATTGCAAATTCGCTGATTTGAATTCGATAAAAACAAAATTCCAACATTAATCATATTCCAATATATAAAATATGACTGCGTAAATATTATCGGTTTTTCTAAATTATAGAAAAAAAGATTTAATATAAAATAATATAAATTTAATATATATATATAAAATATTCTTACTTTTTTTGATGCATTATAATTCTATAAATATTTCTGTATGTTAATTACAGAATTAATTTCAAATTCCTATTCAATATCAGTACTAAAACCAATATTCAGTAACTCTTAACGACAGCGTTAGTGTCATTACATTTTCATTACGTAAATTTTATATATGTATACAAACTATACAACGACAATATAATACAATACTAACACTGTCATTAGAAGTTAGAGAATAAGAGCCTAATTTAAGAATAAATACAAACATGCAAAGTTACAAATTTAAAATTAAAAATTAATTATTTTTGCCAATCAGTAACATTTAAAAGATATATAAATTCACATGCTATAAATTGTGATAAAGAATTAATATCATATTAGGTATACATGTTCATTCTTTTTCATGAAAGTCAAGCAATTTTAGATGTCAAGAAACTTTGCGGTTCAGTGAAGTCCTAATCTGTGATGAAAATTTGAAATTTCCAAAGCGAAGGAGGCTCTTCTCGACTAAGGTCGTATTTGAAAGTTAAAACACAGGTTCGAGCCAACGGAGAACATGAGCAGTACGACGTGGTTTTGTTTGTTCGTTTCATGAATTTTTCACAACCGTCGCCATTATTATCCCTACACTAGTCCCGGATTTACATCGATGTCAGTGAACGACTACTACCTGCAGCAGCAGAAAAACAAAACCCATTGCTGTCATGAATATACGCTCACGATAAAATAGCGCAAAAATCTTCGGTAAAATTCACAAATATTAATTAGAATCTAATCTAATTTGCTAAACAATTCTCATTTTGATCTCGATCTTTCAAAATAACTTAAAGAAACACGATTGAATTTCGAACAAAGGACACACATTATCTATAATGCATAAGTCTAAATTTGGAAAGTTCCATTTCTAAAATAAGAAAAATAAGATTACAACATAGACATGACTTGAGATTCCGGTAATTTTTATTATTTTTTTACTGAGACAAAAATTTTCTTATGTTGCATTCAAGCGTATACGTAACTGCAAGCGGGCAAACTATCTTCCATAAAATTGCAGCGCCACAGCATAAGTCGTGGTTTTATGGTTCGACTATCATAATATAAGATTTCGTAGCAGATGCTGTTACGCTAAGATAGTAAACCAAAAAAAGTTTCCTCAACAAATTACGACCACCAACTGGAAGTCGACGAGCATATAATATAAATTGTATCCGCGTTATGTCACCGTCATATGCACGAGTATAATTTACGATGACGTGGATTTTCGCAAGCGAAATATTTACAGATATGAGTTATTTGAAATTTATGACATTTATAGTCTGCTAGTATTTTTATAGTTTTAAATCTATATATTAAAAATTGACCGCAAATATAGATAGAAAGAAATCCTAAAACTGCCCACTAGATTTAAAATATATTCATGCAAGGTTTTAATTGTAATAGGCAAAAATATAGTATAATTATAAAAAAAAGCAAGCCTATATAAATGTTCCTATGTAAATGATTAGCAACAGATTTTACAAACTTCATGCCTGTGCGAAAGCCCTTTAAGGCAAAACAGAATAAAAGGAAGCCCTTAAAATCTTCCACGAATGAAGTGAAGAACTTACATGAAAAATCATTTGCATAGACATAGTATATATTTAGGATTCTTTCCAGCAAGGGATGACACAGTGTAACACAGTGAATCATTACATTCTTATTGTATACAAACGTTAAACAAACATGAGATTATGTACGCTATGCCTTTGCTGAAAAGCATCAATAATACATAGATCAAACATACTAGGTATGGTTTGTTCATGTAAAAGAAAAAGAAAACACAACTCAAGTCTTTCATCCCTCCCCTCCCCCCCCCTCTCTCTCTCTCTCTCATTTTAATCTAATTTTATGTTTTTTTTATTTTTCTTTTTTTCCATTATTTTATTTTATTTTATGTCTCTTGTTCTACTGATTCTATTTTATTTTTTAAATATATTTTTTGTTTTCCATTATTTTATTTTTTCTTATTTTTTTCACCATTATTCTTTATCGTATATATTTTTAGAAGACTTGCCGTAGAACAATAAATGGTCTTTCCTTCTTTCTCTCTCTCTCTCTCTCTCTCTCTCTCTCTCTCTCTCTCTCTCTCTCTGTCTCTTTCTCTCTCTATCTCTAACAATGATTGTTCTCTATCTATTAGAGAGAAAAGAGAGACCCAAGTTGTGTTTTCTTTCTCTCATGTGAGGATCTCACATGATGCTCTATTTATATTATGTTTATGATTATTTGCATCAACAATTTCGAAGTCTTTTCGACAAATTCTTAACAAAAAAAACATCAGTGACTTACTCTCTAAACTTTTTAGAATAAATTTCACTCCAAAGAATTTAGAGAGTAGAATTTTATTAATACCGTTCACAAGTACAAACGTTTACACAATACAACAATAACCAAACACGAGCAGAGAAGAATGACATAAATTCATCAATTACCTAGAGGACCCTTTGACTTCCACAGGCCTTTGATGAGAGTTGGATCGCCGCGACGCCAATCGCGCCATCCTCGACCCCGACGAGGTCCCTTGTCGGCCCACCTTGAACCGGTCTCAGAAGCTGCGGCACCGCCGCCGGCTGCACCACCGCCGGCTCCACCGCCGGTCGACCCACCAGTAACGCCGAGACCAAAAGTGGCAGCTCCGGCAGCGCCGGTGGAGAAACCGGTAGCTCCTCCGCCACCGCCGCCGCCGCCGCTTCCGGTAGCACCACCGATAGAACCACCGCCGCCGGGGCCCGGGGTGCTCGGCGACGAACCGGCCTGCGGCTGACCATGGCTCCCAGTACTTCCACTCTGTGGCATCGGCGCTCCCGCCGCTTTTTTCGTCCGACCCGGAAATTTCCAGGAAGCAGCATGAAATGAATACAGGAGGACATGCGCACCGTTAAACTATCGATTCGCGTTCGATTGATCAATGGGGGTTTCATGGCGGACTGTGTCTTCCTCCGATTTATCTATCTTCGCTTATCTAACGAAAATTGCTCGGAAGAGTTGCGGTTGTCATAATTGTTATTTTAAAGGAATAATGTTTGACTTCGTTCTCACTTTTGTCGATTCTTCAGAGAATCGCAAAGTGCGAAAGCCAGCAAGGAAAATATCTTTTTCTGTAATAAATCACTATCTCTCCGATTTATTTTTCAAACTTAAATAATATATATAATTTTTATCTTAAAGTAAAATTACTTAAGAATAAGAAAAACACTATTTCATTCAAGAAATCGATTTATCCAAATTTGAAGTTTGTTTGTGTACGCAAATATAGAACAAATCTCATCAGAATTCTAAGAGAATCGATCTTAGCGTTAGATATGCGAAAGAGCAGTGTAATGGAGCAGAAGGTATCAGTGCGAAGGACTTTTCAGGTAGGTGAATATGCAAAGAGATCAGAGGATCGTATAAACTGCTTCACTAGATTTCCATTAATATTTCATCGATTATTCTCGCTTTAACTAACGGTCACGAATGATTGTAATCACTAGAAGACAGGAGACAATTCAATAACAGTAAATCGAGAATCAGAATATAAAAGTATCAGAATGGTTTTTTTCCTCTCTATATCGACGGAGTGTCTCTCTCATAGCTAATGCATATACTTAAGGATCGAAGAGAATTTCAATCCGTTAAATCGAGAGGTGACATTGATGTAAAGGATTGACAGCCAATTTACAGAGATGAGTGATGAATCGCATTTTCGGCACCACTCAACGTAAATAGATGACGCTGAGTACAACAATGATAAAAGAGAAGATATAAATCGAAATTCTATAATTACGAATATGATTTTGAAAATATGTTAAATTGTTATAATTATGTAGTTGTTAATTACACACCTCTAATTGCACCATTAATATAAAGTATTTATTCATTATATTATAATAATTATATTCGCCATTATCTCCAAATAATATTGCAATTAAATTCTGAATTATACAAATTCATAAAGAAATAATTGTTTATTCTTTGCCGTATTTACTCCTTTAGACTTAAATAAGTATGATAAATTTGCCGTCGGAAAAAAATACGACGTCTACAATATTTCTCACGACGCATGCGTGCGTGTTTATCATTTTAATTAAAAGAATTTCTTCTTACTAAATTTTCTCAAATATGTAATATAAGAACCGATACATAAATGAATATCAGATAAATAAGAAAAAAGATTTTTATCCCGTATTGAATTTCACGCATTTCTATTTATCGAAGTATTTATAAATAAATATTAATCGCAATTACAATTATAAAAAATATCATAATCTGTTTTGCTAATATTAATTTTTTTGCTATTAATATTAATTTTTATGAATAACAAAAAATTAAAAAACAAGTAAAATTTGCTAAAATAGAAAAAATATTACAAATGGCAACTTTGTTTATTCAATAATTGTATTCTTTTGAATACGAGAATATTGAGGTTCAGTGAACATAAAACTTGTTGCGTCCTTTCGCATAGCGAATTTAGCGAACCATGTCTTTTCTCCATATGAAACAGAAATAAATATTCAGATTTTTGTTTTCATGAATAATCAGAAATTTTTAACGGAATTTTTACACACAACTAAAAATAAAAATATTTTTCTTATTTATCAAATATTGTTTATCAATTTTATATATTAAATTTTTTAATTACATTACTTTGCAATAATTAAATGATGTATCTTAAATAGCCTCACAATTGTAAGTAACAATTAAGAATCTTTAGTTATAAAATAAATATATAAAATTAGTAATATGTGATTTAATTAATGGGATCTTTTTAATTAAAAAATATGCAATATTGTCATTGTTAATATAAACTTGATGGATAATAATTGTAATTTTTTAATAATAACATTTCATAGCAACTGAAATACATTTTTCATTATTCCAAGTCTACTTGACCTATGATACCTACTTCTGAAAAGATTTAAGGACACATTTATATTTAACGCGTGTAAAGGAGATTTAATTAGAATATAAATTTAAACTAAAACATCAATTAACGATTATCAAGTGCCATTTTCGTTGCATGCATACGTGCCAAAAAAGTGTCAAGGGGGCTCTCTTTTTCTTTTAAAGTAACTTAAAAAATTAATTTACCGTCAGATTTGCGAAAAATGTGATTGACGGTTTCGCAGCATCCTTAATGCAAAATCGTGTTAGCGGTATAAAGAATGCAAATTTTATAAAGAAAATTTTTTTTTAGTATTTTATGTCGGTAGTATCGAATATAATCTGCATATGTAGATTAAAATTTGGATCGTTGCGGCGCGAGGAATAACACCAGAAATCTAACCATGAATAGTAAATCGATAAATTTAAACGAAGTCTAATTTAGGATCAACCTACAGCAGTCTGTATTGAAATTAGGCGAGTTATTAAATCCGCATAGTGACAATTTTGTTTTAACCAATCATCACAAAAATTGCTTTTTCTATATAAGACCTACGCCTATTTTGTTCTTGCGTTCTTTGCGGTGGCATTTGAATTTTTGATTGCGTAATTTCGCACATAATTATTATACAAACAAATTAAACTTTAACGTTTCGTGATTTCAGAAATTAGCACACTCATTATAAATTACAGTTCGCTGGATTAATTAATTATCAAATGCAAAATTACAAAAAATAACACTAAACGACATTATCCTCAAACGTGAGTATAAAATAATTTTGAAATTTAAATTTTAATAGAATTTATAAACAACTTTTCTTACAAAATACGCAAAATACAAAATTTTATTATATACACGTTATGAATTACAATTCACTAGATTAATTATTAAATGTGAAATTATAAAAAAGTAATGAAATCGATATTATTTTCAAACATAAATATAAAATAATTTTTTAATTTAAATTTTAATAGAATTTATGAACAACTTTTCTTTTCACAAATTATGCAAAGTACAAAATACTGATTTATAGTGATATATTTATGTTTCATTAATATGCTTATCTGTGAAAGCAATCACAAAAATAATATCCTGGTAATATTTTTATATTTAAAGAATTTGAATCGCTTTAATACTTACCGCATAAGGAAAGCAACAAAATAGTGGCAAGGAAGAACCAACCCATACTTCATCAACAGGTCGTTCCGTGAGAAACCGTGCTACATCGTTAAACTTCAAGTGTACGTCGAAATCGTCAGTGGCTAATGCTGCACATTGGAACGAAGCTCCTTAAAAAAAAAAATATTTCATATTAGAAAGATATGTAGTTAAAGCAAAATAAAAGAGAAATCCTTAAAAATATTTTTATTTTAAATTCATTTTTACTGACAAAGTAAAAGTGACAGAAATTGAATTGAGAAGTCTATAATGTATATTCAGACTGAAGCAGTTAATATTAAGATGTATTGATATCTAATATAAGCTACACAGTTGCGGGTTATCTCGATACACCGTTAAATGCCAACGTTTCGTGAATATTGCAGTTTGCTTCATCAAGGCGAGAAGCAACTCGATATTGATACTTGCCCTGATAAAGTAAACTGCAAGTAAATTGCAATGTTCACGAAACGTTGGCATGATGTATAGAGACGAAGATAATCTGCAAACCGAAGTTTAGCTTCATTAAAGAAAATATAATCCATGGAGGTCTCAAAAGTATTGATATACTTATTCGTAAAGTATTTCTTTAATAATAATAAAGAAATACTTTAATACTTCTTATTTCTCTATTATTAATAAAGAATAAAAAACACAAGATTTATTACATTTTTAGAATTTATGCATTACTAAATAATATATAATTACAATTGCTTTGAAAATTTAGCTATTCCCTTTAAATTAATAATTCTCTTTAAATGTGTTCGCGCCTGGTCATATTGAAACTTCATATTAAACAACCGTATCTACATACATGTAGAGCTTTCCCATAAGGCGGCTGCAAACGCCTGCATGGTTAACTACTACGGAAGCTCGAAAATTTCCTATCGGTGGATTGCATCGCGGAGGCATACGAATAATTGAAACGACCCACGTCAAGAGCGGCCTCTGTGCTGTGATGGCGCGGCATCCGCCATCCTATGTAATCGCCGGCAAATAATGTATAAATTCGTTTTCGAGAGCGAGTCGCGCAGCGCTCTCGACATTTCCGTAAACCAGTAAATGGCTTATGCATGAGCGCGTCAGTATGAATCCTGGCTAGCTGCGGGCAAGATTATATTCCTATTCGCGAAACGCCATGAAACACCACTCAATTTCTACATTGTAAAATTGATATATACATCATGACTGTATCATGACTCAATATTATCGAATCGATTATGCATATTATTGCAACCTAATTTCGTAATATATTGTCTAACAGTGTTTAAAAATGATTTCTTTAAATTTCTTAGTCCATCAAAATTTAATTAACTTTTCGACATTGTTGCAATCGTACCATAATATTACCACAGTTTTTCACGTAATATTTTTAAAATCAAGTCAAAAATGATAGGTATTTTATCAATTTCGAGTATTCTATCAAACGGGAGTTTTAATAAATTTCAAAGAATTGAATGATTGACTTTGAATGATTAATTTGTTTACATGTTACAATAATGGCACCAATAAAGCATTGAGGGAAAAAATATAGGTATATATATATATAGTCACTAGCAAAAAATATGAGCCACTGTATCGATATTTTTTAATGTGTACATGATATACAAGATGCCCCACCTAACGCAACTATCCCTTTTATCTTTGCAAGATCAAATAAAAAATATATTCAAACAAAAGAGTTGCATGAATGAAGCATAAATGATAGAAAATCAATTTTTTATGATCATATGAAAGCCACAGCTATTCTTTTACTGAATCAAGTAATTTTTTTATATAATATATATAATGATTTTTCCAATTATTTTGCAACATATAAAAGTATTAAGATAAAGATTTTTAAACAGTTAAGAATTTACAAGATATTTTAGAAGTATTTTAATTCGGCATTTTAATATAAAATCTCATATTAATTTTTTTTATAAACGTACAAAAAAATTAATAGTTATATATAATATATTACGAGAGATATTTTATATTTCAAGTCATGTGCCAGAATAAAATATGTAATAACTAGTAAACTAAAATATGTAATAACTAATAAATTATTGACTTAATTAACGTATTTATTTCAAATCAACAATAATTAGAGAAATTATATTATGTAAAAAAATCATAATTTCATTTATAAAAATAGCCATGATCTTCATGTAATCATGAAAAATCGTTTTTTTTTTCAAAAATTGATTTTGCTATTATTTGTGCCCTGTCAAACTATAAGACTTTTATTTGAACATACTTCTTTTTTTCGATTTCAAAGAGAAAATAGTTCAGTAATTACGTTAGAGATATCTTGTATATATGTAAAGACAATATTTGTCTTAAAACAGACAATATTTTATACTTTATTATTTATCAATAATAAAGTACGATAATTAATCCGGCTATATTTGAGTTCATTCATTCCATATTAATTAAGTACATGAAATTATAAGGGACTATTATTAGTAATAGTTAATAGAATTGTATGTAATTTATTGAATAAATCGTTGAATTATATTATCAAATGAATATATATGACTAATAATGGCTATTGGCCTCAACAACTCAAATAAAAATATACAATTTTTCATTATAAATCTTGTTATTAGAATAAGAGAGATATTTCTAATTAATATACTAACTAGGGGCATCAATTATATTAAAGAAGCAATTTACGAAGAAACTGCAGTTGTTAATTGCAAAATCGTGTTTCCTGCGATTTAATTTATGACGTTTCCAAAATTAAATTTTAATCACGCACAGTAGAGTAATTTGTAGTAGCCAAACTCGTTCTAGAAATATACCTTTATTTATGTACGTGCATAAATAATATGTACATATGTGAGTAAATAAAGTGTGTGTGTGTGTGTGTGTGTGTGTGTGTGTGTGTAATTTGTAAAATGATTGTGTAAAATTTGCAAAAATGCAAAAAGATTCTATTCTCTAGTTTCAAGAAACCTTTATTGATTTGCGTTTCTTCGAATACTATTAAAAGGATTAAAGTTTTAAACCGAAGGAGATTACCTGAAAAACACTCAGAAGTCGGATACAGTGTAATTAGGATCATCATTATAGTCTACATTCGTATCGGCAAAATCGCGCTTTTAATATGGTTGTAAATATTAAATCGAACTATGCGTCCCACTTTCGCTCACAACGCTTGTGAGCATCATTTGTCCTCGCTTAATATTTGATAAACAACAAAGATGAAATGATTCCATGAGTGTCAGCCAGCCTGAGACATAATTGAAAATTATCATTTTATTCTTGTTTTTGACATTCAGTGAACAACATTATAAGAATAAAATAATACGATTATGATCCAATTTTTCATTATCAGGTTAACTTGTAGTTTAGATTTAATCTCACTTAACTTGATAATAATGTAAAAATTGTTTTTTTGTGATTAATCACTAAACTAATATTTTTGTAGTGGCAACTTTAAAAATTATTCACTACAAAACTATCAGTTTGTGATTAATCATAGATGGAAAAATACAATTTTTTACATTATCAAGGTATAAATAACAAGAATTAACCAATTTCTTCTTCTATTATTATTATTACTATTAAATGAAAAATATTAAGTATGAATAATATTAAGTGTTTGATCGCTCCTAAAACGTACAGTCGATGACTAATCGGAAAATTAATTCAAAATGTTATAAGCCCATATAGAGCTGCTATTAAAAATTTAACATTAATAAGAAATTTGCTAAAATTAAATTCGACCGCCATTATGCGCAATGAAACACTTGTATTCTTAGATTTGTTCGTGTCGCATGCTCCAACATGCTCTAAAATGATTTTACCATAATATTGGCTGCGTTCAGCAGAGAAAGCAGCTTTGCAACTGTTGTACAATTTTTCAATATGATTGGTTTATACATTTAGATTTATAAAGAATCAAAAGCAAAAACAGATTTGGAGCATATTCGAGCATACGACGCGAACAAACCTCTTACGCGAACAAACCTTTTACGTCATGATTGATGACCCAGATAAATCTCAGCTCCATGCGTTGAGTTGATACGACCAATAATAAATTGGAGGGAGTAAGGAAATCGTCGCAGAAGACAAAAGTTAACTAACAAATGAAAAACCGAATCTATGATTATCGTGTGCTTTATGAAACGCAGCTCTATGCCCTGAATATTGATTTAAGCCCCACGAGCATCATCTGAAGAATCGATGAAAAATCGATCTTATCGATATTATCGATATTATCGATCTATGAAGGCCGATATTCATAGTCGGATCTTAAAATGTTATGAACCAATCAGAAGGCCGCATTAGTGACTAAGCTTAAAACGATCTTAAAATAAGAACCGACTACGAATACCGATCTTAGTCGTGAATCACGTGAGGAGACCATAATACTTCGATTCGGCGGTCAGTGCGTTTATCGATGATGTAACGATCGATGGCGGTGGCGGTAGCGCCGGTGACGGCGTCTCGTGGTATCTCGTCGTTCCCGCGTATTGTCAAGTTCGCTTTATTAGTCGAAACAGAAGTGAATGGGAAGAGTTTAGAGCGCTTCAAAAGCTCTTATAAAGATATCTCGAAAATTATTCGAGAACTGTATATTTTTGGAAGCTGATCGCGTGTTAACATATCGTCTATGAGTATCGATCGAGTTTTTTGTGAGTGAAACAATGGCAAATCGAACCCAGCCGAGTGACATCGATCGGGTCTGCGAGGCGATACACGGCTTACAGAAATCCTTGGAATGCACGATTTGGTAAGTCTGCATTCGTGACGTCGCGAACGTGAACAGATTCATCGATCTTGTATGCTTGTACAACGCAATCAACTTGTTATTTTCGTGCGTAATGACTGGGACAGATATAGGTTAGGATCGCAGTGCAACAAGTGTCCACCTCGCAGCAATCATGAATCGTACCGAAGCAGTTAATTTTCATAGATTCTGCATATGAAAAACATGTTAATAATATTCTGATTATCTTAATTTAATATCAAACTTGTAGATTTTTATCTAAATAAACCAAGTATATGTAAACTGTAAACAAAGCAATATATATCAAACATAACATTATGTATACATAATATTATGATATTATTTAATATGTCATGAATAACGAAGAAATTGACAGTTTTTACTGATTTTATATTAGAGGGATATTATATTAATTAAGGACTATTAACTCGAAGAACTTTAATTAAGTATCAAGCTCGCTTATACATTTTTTATCCAGAGAAATATATAGACAAGGAAATGTGTTTCAAATCTAAAATTATAATACTATTTAAACGATATCAGGTTGTGATTTCATTGGACTAGTGTACATTAGTTGTACTTAAAATGAAGTAGATATATAATATATTTGGGCAAAAGCAAGATAATTTTAATGCAGTCTAGTATAGCAAAATAAAGAACTGGATCATTATATGATGAATCGCAAAGCAATTGACAGATTTACTGATTCTACATGAGATATTAATCTATATTAATTAAACTTTAAGTATCTTAATTAAGTATTAAGTTCACTTATAGATTTTTTATCCTTTAAATGAATCAGAGAAATATAGACAAACAAATGTGTTTTAAATATAAGATTATAATATTTAAATAATATTATGTCTTCTTGTAACTAAACTAGCACTTATACGTATGGTTGTACTTAAAATGAAATAAATATATATTTGAAATTTAGCGAAAATAATATAAACAATTTTAATGCAATCCAATGACAAAAAACAGATTTATTATATTATAAATCACAGCAAAGCAATTAAACAGATTCATTGATTCTACATGTGAAAGTCATATTAATTAAATTCTGGATACTTTAATTACAAAAAAATATATATCAAACATAGGATTATAATACTATTAAACAATATTTTATGGAATTAATTATATTCTAAGTGATCAATTATTTGTGTAAATCAAAATTTGATTAATATTTTCAGAACAGTATTTTTAACTAGTCATTTCATATTGTTTCAGTTTGGAGTTCCTGACGGAACCTACCAAGACCCGATGTGGTCATTCATTCTGTAAAATTTGTGTAGGAAAGGTCTTACAAATGAAAGATGCTTGCTGTCCACTGTGCAAGAAGAGTCTTAATAGACGCAACATTTCCAAGGATGATGATCTGCAAACTTATATCGTGAAGTTCAAAAATCTTGTCACTGCCATCCAGAATGATACTAACATTGAGTATACTGAACGTAAGTATATTGCAAAATTTTGCTTCCCTGAATTGACCGAGTTTCGATTGTATCTGAATTAATGCGACATAAATCAATTTGAAATCTCTATCTGAATTATTATCGATTAATCACAATCGGATAAAATTAAATTGTAAAAAAAAACGTAGATAAGATATAATTCCTCTAGGAAATGATTCTTGTACTACACACTAGAACGCTACGATATTGAGAATCATTACTGCACGGATAAAATAATCGTAATTTCCATTGTAACTATTGATCCGCGATCTGCTATTGTGTTATTCAACTGGGAACGAAAGTTAAAAGCACGGCGCAGTAGATGCCCTGCCGTAAAAGTACATTAAGTGAGGTCAGCACTACGTTCCTCGCTGTGCGCGGATGGTGGAGGCCTGAAAAATTTAATTCTCGATACTCTTGGGTGCCTCGATTCATGCTATACGTTTTAGAGAAAGCTCAATGTTTTATGAGGCCCTGGAGTTTGGGTATCACGTACCTTTCCGACGTTCTTCAGCTCCCTTGCGTTGAATATTCGAAATGTCCTTACTGTAGATTTCCTCTGGTCATATTTTTCATTTTTTATTATAACGTTACTCAGTTCCTCATACATTAATCACATTTTATTGATTTATAAAGATATATTCCATGAAAACGGAAAATAAATGATTCGTAAATAACCATGTAAAGTCGAACTATTTTTTATTTTATTTTAAAAATAAAATATATATCAAAATTTGTACGCGATTGGATGCATCCAGGCACATCGACTTTATTTAATTTTATGACAACTTGATTTTAAATATATATATATATATTTTATAGATATACAGAGTGATTTTAATATATTTCGCCACCCATCACGAGCAGGTAGAATCGAACTGAGTCGAAAAGTCCTTTACCATTTTGCAATTTTCGCAATAATTAATAAGATATTAATTACTAAAAATTGTCAAATACTGGTCTTGAATAATTTTTTACTCAAATATGTACTATCAACTTTACAGAAAAACTGCAAAAGATAAAAATCATTTATTTTCTTCTCATAAAGTTCTGAGAATTTTTTTCAGAATTTTTTCAGAATTTTTTAATACCGTATTTTCTCATGTTGGTAAAAATAAGAAAATGCAGTACTAAAAGGTTGCAGTACTAAAAAATTCTGAAAAAATTCTCAGAACTTTATAAGAAGGAAATCAATGATTTTTATCTCTTGTAGCTTTTCTATAAAGTTTTCTATAAAAATAAAAGATTAAAATGTTTCGTGTTTTATGGGAACTGTGCTTCTTTGAATGATAATTTGTATCTCGCCGCGCATTAATTCCATTGACGCGCTAGACATTAACGTTATAATATGTTATGATATTATCAAAATTAATTTATAGTAGTTTTCCGTGCGACAATTGGATAAGATCGTGTATAATTGGATAAATCTCGTGTATACTTGAGATATGTTAAGATTACTCACATAAGTTTCTATCACAATTCCTAAAATTCTATTTTCTTGATATTTTTTAATTAAATTTATTCAAATGCTTTATAATTTATATTTTAGAAATAAAATAAATAGCGGATAAAAAAAATTAATTTAAATTTATTATATCAGTTTTAAATCATGTGTAATTATTTTTTGAAGGAATATGTTGCTTAATATGGGATATTAAACAATTGTATTCAATTATTGTATGATAAACTATAATAAATGCGATTGTAGCCAAGTTTTACTTAGTCGTATTGTTAAATGTAAGAATGTATTTCTTCAACAATATCAGCAAATAAATCGAGGCGGTTTTGTCGATATTCGCGATAAAACTTCAATAATCTGTTACAGTATTATCACACTCGAAGAAGCCCTGTAATACGAAGGAAAGCTGTTCTTATTCAGATTCTAGACAGCCTAGCCAAGATTCTAACAAAGAAAAACGTTCTAAGAAAGAGAAGTCTAGTTGTCAATCGAATCAAAATGCGAATAGGCAAATCGACAAACCGTCGACAAGCCGTGAAACAATGATTGATCGTAGTAATCCGCGATGCGGTTTAAAAGTGTCAAACAAGAACCCTGTAACTTTACCGAACCTCTACTCTGCTCTTCCTAGCGATGAGACTCGCATCACACCGGATGTCAAAATTCGCTCGTGGCTACACCAGTTTCCCGATAATCTGAGTACCGATAAACCGGATATCGATGATTCGATCGCGAAAAACAAAAAATTACCGATCGAAGATGAAGCTCAGTCAATCATTTCAATATCCGACAAAAATAGTAAATCTGACGAGATCATCGAAGTACATCGTAACAGGAGTAACGCAAAGCGCCGATCAAGTCAAGATAGAAAACAGAGTATGGATTGCTCAGAGCGTATCGATGAAGACAACACGTTGTCCCAGGTGAATAAAGAGGCGAACCAGATTGATAAAGTAATAGAGCCCAATTCCACTTCGAGCAAATTGAAATACAAGACCAAAATACGCGCAAAGGAAAATCGTGAGAAGAATGCGAAGTCAAGTGTCGAGGAGACTAACAGTCAAAATAGCTCTACGTCATGGATGACAGCGTACGATCCAAATGCGACATCTATGCCTTCGTATCTGGATATCAGGAGGACATCTGCGATCAGCGAACAATCCACCGCGAACTGGCACTCTATGATCGAGTTTGAGAAAGAGATGAAACGCGGGAGCAAAAGAAAAATAAAAAAATTGAACGTGAGCATCGAGAAAAATAAAAATCTACCTCGGATAATCGAGGACGTTATACTCTCAGAGAGTAACAAATATGATTCGGCTAGACTTGCGGCAAATTATAAAAAAAACGAAAAAGAGACGAACATATCGGCAGAGTCGAGCGGTCGGAAACAGAACGCGATTGATAAGAACCTAAATTCATCGGACGCAAAAGTGAAAGCGTTGATTGATACGAACAATCAGACGGAATTATTTGACGAAGATGGGGCCAACTGTTCGAAATCAATATATCCTATCAACACGTCTGCCACATTGGAGGAAGGCAGGCAAACAGACATAATAAATCTAAATATCAATCAAATAAACAAAATTATTGGTCTCGATAACGCCGCGGAAGATCGATATTGTGAGAAAAATTCCGCTGATTATAGCAATGCATCGCAGCGAAAAAGATTAACCGCAGTAACGCCAGAGAAATTAAACGAATCTATATATGAACACGAAAGAATTCGTAACATTTCGCAAACTTCCACCGATAACTTTGAAACTTTGTCCGACTGCTTGTCGGCCGAAAAATGGTCTCTCGGATCTCGAGAGATCGGTAATGTTCAGGGGACACTGAATGAAACTGTATCTTCTCAATTATCATCGGCATCAAAAAAAGGTAGGCTATCCTTGAAAAAAAGGCGGACTGAAAATAAGAGCGTTGAGTCGCCGCTTTTAAGCGATTATTCGCTGTCATACAGATTTTCAATGGACATAAATTGTACCAGTGATCGCAAGAACGTCAATTCGCCAGTATCAAAGGATGATAAGTTGTTTGATCGGTTGAAAGTTGTGAGGCGTGACTTGAACTTCAAAATTCGCGAAATTCAACAACGAACCGATCAGGATACAGCCGCCAGAGCATCAAAAGGCATAATCGAAATTGAAAATAACAACGAAAATGTTTCCAAAATTCTTCATCAGGACAAAAAACTCAGTCATAATTTTACTGATGATTCTACGGTGTCGAAAAAGTATCTGTCGACAAAGTCGAAAAGTGTCGAGAATCAAGGACGTCGATCTCTCGTGAAATTTATACAATTAGGTTTATTAAATATTAGAAGACTAAACCGATATTTTTACGCAGGCCCGACTAAACGCGAAATGTCGATGCCAGCAGAAGTTCGAGTTATCTCGGTGTGCAATATGCAATTAAGCAGATCCGAAATGTATGTAGCAACATCTCCTGATCCATGGAATTCACAAAACTCGAATAATATCACCGTGGTGGAGAATATTTGTTTCGCGAATAATTTAAATTCGAATGAAGCAGTTTCAAAAGAATTTCCTGCACAGATTTGTACAGCTTCAGCGACTTCGACACCCAAAAAAAATATCGATTCTCATTTAAATCAAACGAAGAACACAAAGGTTGTACATTCTTCATTGAACGCAAATCAACGATCGGATAAGTCAATCGAGAACGTCACTGAGAAAAACGCGCAATTTCTTCATAAGCCATCTTGCGTGGATAAAAACGCGATTCACGGAATCTCGCATATTCATCCAGGAACGTCAAAATCTATTAAATTGCTGTCACCGGATAAAGATTCGCAGTTGAAATTTCTCGCGATAGACTCCCCAACGAGCGAGCGCGATAAGTTGCGACGCGCGAGCTCGATTAAGCCCGTAATCAAAGGAAACAACTTTTCTGAAATGAAAAATTCACATCTCGAAACATCTACGTTGGACAAAACACAGGAAGCTTTCATCGAAAACCTCTGTAAGAAGAGAAAAAGAACGAGATACGCCAATGACAGAGAGCTATTTGAGGACAAGTCTAGTGATGGAAACGATTCCAGCAATTCGGCCACTGACAGCAGTCGAAGTACGATAAAACTTGACAGATACAACGAGTTATCTAGGAAAGCAAGCTCGAGTCGTTTGGACGAACATAAAAAACGTCGTTTGAGTTCCTCGGATGACCAGGATGTCGAGGTAATCTCGTCGGTTTCTAAACAACAGAATATGCCCAGAAGAAAATTCAAGATTTCTAGCTCAGATTCGGAATCGGAATCGGAGATGCACGTTACGAAAAATTTGAAAAGGTATTAATGAAAAATTATATATAATAATTATATAAATTATATATACAATTATTTTATTATATTATTATGATCCTTTATATGATGATTTATTATTTTATTATGATTCTTATATAAATCAATTTATTTTGTTGATCTATTTTTCTATTTTCAAATTTTTTTTTTTTTGGTTTTTATTTTATTTTTATTGCCGATCTTATTTTATATTCATAATTTCTATTTTAAACTTTGTAACTGAAATTTATAATTATTGCTATTGGTCACAATTTTTATCTACATTCCATAATTAACAAATATTGTTTTTTCTGAAGCAACTTTCTTCCTTTCCTCTTTCCAATTTCTGCAACTACTTTCAGCGATTATTATTATGCGCTGCTATTATCGTTACTTTTTAGATGAAGTAATGCAACAAAGGGAAAGTTTTTAATCGCAGAAAAGTACTCTTGTCAGGAACATAGTTTTTTTATTTACATCATGATTTTTTTTCTTTTTCAAAAATACAGTGACAATCAATGTGTCCAACGGAATTCATCGATTACGGATTCGGCTGCGAAACAATGTTCGATTAAGCAAGATTCGGAAAATCTTCGTATGCGGAATATAATCGATAAATGGACCAACGAACACATGATGCAAACAAAGTTGATGAAGGAAAGTAAAAATAGTCAGAATAGCTTCAAATCAACGAAGAGCCGATCCAAAGAAATCCCGGCGAGCCATCAATCGTCTCACTTAAGTAATGCACTCAACATGGAGAACTCAAAGCCGAGCCAGAAAAGTTTCGCGAGAGAGTCGGATATGTTTGAGAGCAATAGTTTCTTCAATTCGGATAATGTTGATTATATATTGCAATCGACAAAGAACACGAACGATACATCAAAGAAGATCGCGGATACTTCAAACGATGACATTATAAACAAAGTGTTGCAGATCGATAGATCGCGGAGTAACACCGATGGACGGCCAGATTCTGTTTCACGGAACGACATCACGAACCAAAGAGAAAAGGATAACAGAGAACAATTGTTACAGGACAATTTCGACGAGATCATCGCCAACGTCGAACAGCCACAAAGCGAGGATTTCATATCTTGTTCTGAACAGCCAGATCGTAATCCCAATCGCCCATTGGCAAAACAGAAAACGTCGAACTGTCTCACAATGACAGATGAATCGTGTGGCATTATACAGGAAACTGCGGCCATATCTCCGTCATCGACAAACGACATGTTTGAGCAGTATTCTTCTAGAAACGTTAAGAAACTACCCGCAACTATTTCAAAATTTCAAGAAACATTCAACGAATGGATTACAAAGTATCCTGATAAAGAGAACGTTGCCTGCAATCAGAAAAGACATGGTTACGTGGGTGACCAAAGAGACAGAAACGATTCAATGACAAATGCCGATGCGTTTGACAAAGACTCCCGTAAAATAATCGCATCGAAGCATAATGTATCACGAGAGAAAGAAAAGTTCCACGAAGAACGTAATGTTTTAATACAATCAGCGAGTCGGCTTGATATCAGTAACGATAAAATATACAGAACAACAGTTGCTGACAACGAATCAATTTCAAAGGATGATACTTTCGATGATTCGCTTATGAATATTACGCAGCATCAAGTTCGATTACAAATGTTTGAACGGGATCTATTCGGTATTGCGTCTCAAAATCAAACAAAAACGACAAAAATGAATTCGCAGAATGATCTGTCACAAAGGGAGCAACGCACTCCAAAAAAGAGAAAGCAGAATATTCAAGATAAAAATACGGAATCAGAGGTAAGTGTTCGCAATGTTAATATTTCTATATTTATCTTATATTAACAAGACTATATTTATATTCTTTTGTTCTGCAATCTTGAGATTCCGAGAAATAATGTTTCTTTAACATATATTATATATCGGTTCGCTAAAAAGAAAACCTACAATTATAACGAATTTATATCTGCAAATGTAAAATTTATATTTAATATATTCGTATAATTGTGAAACTCTGTTAATGTGTAGAGAACGCATCACAAAATTTTCTTAGAGTTTATGGAAATTTAAGGAAATTTCTATCTTATTAAAATAGTTATAATTCGCATAATCAAATTTTTTCACTTAAGTTTAAAATAAAAAATCTGTACTATGAAATGTATAGCAATGTAGCCATAGGTATTTTAAATTCTAAATTTAGTATACTTATATATGTCGCAATGGATTTTTACAACCTTTTTTATGAGTGAGCACTTTACATCTTGTGTAGCGTTTACTGTAGTTTACATAGAAATAGCAACGAATGCATTATGGAACAGTCTATTCCGTGTGTATGTGTGTTACAATATGTGTATAATGAGTATTACATAGCACTTTTAAACACAGGAATGCTTCGCCGACGAAGACGACGTTGTGGAAAACACTCCTGAGAAAAAGATGAAGAAGTAAGTACACGTTTTAAGTTCTTTTCTCTTACAGTGTACTTTTCGTGCTTGTTACATGCCTTTGCTAGTTAGATAATTTGCATGCACGTGATCATAAATACGATAGTATATGTACATAGTTGCATGAGTCACAAAGAACAGGGCGAGACTTCCTCTGTTTTTTGCAGCTTCGAATAATATATCAAAAAAAGATATAGGCAAAAAATTAAAAATAATAATAAATGTATATATTATATATTAGGAGTTGGAATTAATTCGTAGCGTTTTTAAATGAAAGAATGTTATTTATTTCACATGAGCATTAAAAAATATATTAATGAAAGTACTTCCCATCACTTGTAAAACGCTACGAATTAATTCCAACACCTAATAATATATAATATATAGTATAATATATAGTGTGAAGATTTCGTGAGATGTATAGTTTCTATTCGAAATTCTTTATATACTCATCTTTATGTGTAATTTTACGCTAATTAATCAGTATACCTGTTTCAAACAGTTCCGTCCGCATTAATTTATCCTATTGGTTTGTTCAAATTTATTTGTTCGAAAATATAATTTATCTTCTTACAAATATATTATTTAAAAACTTTTTTTCTCTGATATTTTATGACTTCGTCTGTTAATGTAATATTTGTTTCTGTGAACATTTTTTATTTTTTAAGACTCTTTAATCTCGATTGTTTAGAAAACTATTTACAATCACTTAGAAAATCGGGAAGCTCAATGTTTCCTGAATATTTAGCTCGAGACACACGCAAAGTACATTATTGTAATATTGCAGCTGCGGAAACTCCACGATCGAGTCAGGAGAAAGTGCAAAGCCATCGTTTTTAACCCCGCTTTTGAAGAAAGCTGAATGGACACCAAATACATCAAAACCGCATCAAATAGTTCACTCTCTGAGTGGCTCGAGTACACCTATAAATTTGTTGGAACCGTCTTCGCAAACGATATTTGAGATGGATAGGAGAAATGAGCGTGTAAGAAACGATGGTATTTTATTGGCGAAGCAGATGAACGCAAATATGCTGGAGAACGTTCGTTGGCAACCTGACAAGCGAGACCTGCGCTTCGTATGCAGCGGATTATCTGCGAAAGAGATCACCACAGTGAAAGAATTTGCGGCGAAACACAACGCGAGTTACGTGAACCAATTCGATCACAATGTGACACATGTTATCGTGAAGACCATCGGTGAGCAGAATATGGCGAATAGCACATTGAAGTATCTGCAGGGTATCGCCCATCGAAAGTGGCTAGTCAGCTATAGATGGATCGAGGATTGTAGCATGCAGCAGAAGCTACTGGATGAGATTCCTTATGAGGCAACCACGCAGACTGATGTTGTAGCTAACGGCGCCGGACCTCGTAATTCGAGATTACGTGACAAGGATCTCTTTGAGGGCTTTACGTTTCTCTGCATCGAACCGTACGACAACGTTTCACTGAACCAGTATGAGGTCAGTCCTTAGTCACCTACATGCGACCGTTAATGAGACAACGTTACATCCACGTTCCGCCTCTAAAAAGATCGGGACATTTATTCCTCGAAGACGCTGTTAATTTCTATTCGAAAACACAGAGTTCCTTCGACTTGTAATTAAAACAGATTCATTGTACGTGTCGCTGGACTGAAAGGATTTTTATTTACGCTTCTCCTACGCGTTCAGTCGCAGTCACGCCATTTCAAGTTGGATCCGGTCCAAACTTATGTAAGAATATCTTTGGTTTTTAGGATTTGTTACGTGCAACTGGAGCCACAGTGGTTCATTCCTTCGAAGCTCTCGATAAGATGGGAGGCCTGAAAGGCGTTGTGATCCAAGACAATATACACGATGATAAAACAATCGGTAAATTATCACAAATAAATATACGTCGTATACACAATACTCTCTTGGAAATATTTCAATTAAAACCTAATACATGTATTGATTTATATAAATATTATTGTTTATAAAAATTCTCCACGAAAAAGTATTAAAGTACATTTGTATTTTGATTTTCCTGATAGAACATTGGTATCGAACTTCTAAGGCAGCACCTATTCTCGTGGATTGGATAGTCGAATGTATCGGTCACTACAAATTATTAAAGCTTACGCCCTACAGCCCATGTCTTTCGTCGCAAGATTTTTGTGCCATCGGCTATCCACGAGAACTCATAGAAGAAGATGAGGAGTACAGCGATAACGAATAGAAGGAGAAAAAAATATATATATATTTGTTATTTGTTAATAATTCGTTCCAGTGTTCAATATTTTCAATCAAAAGAATTAAATAGTTACAATAGTATTTTCATATTTACTATATTACACGCGTACATATGTAAATTTAATTCTCATTATATTCGATATCTATCGATAGGATATTAACTGTTATACATGATTTCAGTGTTTTTATTTTTGTACACAGTATATGACTACATGTTAAATATATTGTAAATTATTTATGCTTTTCTAATAAATTTGTTTTTTGTACGCTGAAGTTCTCTCGTTATTTTCGTACAATTCTCGCACGTTCATTCGTGATCAATGTCTCGTTTATTGTACTATCGCGAGTTCGTTGTCCGTTTTTCGAAAACCTCTTCGTCTGGATCTTACGTAGCATTCCAATTTAGCCTCAAGAGTTCTCCAAGACCGCGGTAAATGCGAGTCGCAAAATGCCATCTCGAGATACCTGACGCGCTTCTCGCCAACGTGAGAAAGTAAAAAGAGAACATGAAATCCGTGTGGACGTGATGACAAAGGACAAGTCTTTTCGCGATATGACAATGCTGTGCCGTCACCCAGATCGTAAAGTTCGTTTGTCGTGAGAGAACGTCGAGGGTATTCATATATTCACCCAAACACACGTACCCATATTGATTTGCCCGGGACCACCTGTAGCCAACTCTCATCCGTTCGCGTACCACACAGCCGTTTATGAATCCCGCCCAATTGTACGTAGATGAGAGGAAACGAGCGCTACGCATTTTGTATTCTCACCTTCGATATTAATATCGCGACGATACATGTATGAAGAGAGAGTTGGAGGTTCACGAGAGTTCACAGCTGTAAAAACATACGTATTTCCTCTTAAACGTTCTGCACTGTTATGTAATCGATTGTATCCGCTCCGAATAATACCTCCGACGTGCGTCGCAAATTGATGAAAATATATTCGATGTTTACTACCAATAGTCAATGACGCTGGCGTGCAAATTATACAGGCAGAACCCACATTTAACAATGGTAGTCGTGCATCGCGACAGCACGTTTTATATAAACCGCGGTGAATTTTGATTTGAAGTAAGTTACTCGGGATTTACCAGTCTCCTTTTGCTATATAGGAAGATTCGATTATGCCTTTTCCCTTATACTATATAACCACAGGACTGTTGAAGTTCACCATTGTGCGCGATCTCTACTGTACCCATGTTTGCGAATGGTTCTCAATTGAACGGAGTATTGAAGGATTCTATTGTATTTTCACGCGACATAACTCTCCACGTGGCCATTTATGTCGTTCGCAGGTGGCAAAATAGTAGAACATTATCACCTTCAAACGATCCTTCGTTAAATTGAAATTACGATGCAGACGTTGCGTTGATGAGAAAAATATAAGTTTTTTTTCTAGATGCTAACGAGAAAAATACAAGCTTCTTTATAAACGTAGAAAATAACGAGAAAAATATGAGCTTCTCTATCACATCTATGACAGATGCAAATCTTTTTGATTTTATTGAGAATGTTGCTGCGTTGAGACTTAATTTAATTAATAGCTATCGTAATTTTTCTATAGTGCTTATATATAACGAAGAAAACATCTCAAGGAACATATCAAGTCAAGAGAAAGTCAAAATGATTTTATTTTGACATCATAAAAATCAAAATTTGATTGTTTATGGCATTAAGAATCAAAATAAAGACGTTTTGATTTTTTATTGACTTTTGTGTGTTCCTTGGGTTTCTGTCATGGACATTAGGGAAATAATAATAAACAAATCAGTTCGCTTGTCTATACTTATACTAGATGAGCGCCAACCTAGCAATTAAGCATGTGCTGATTACACGGAGTCATTAATCACACTTGCGAGTCATAATGCCGCTCATCAGATATTCTCGCTCCATTGCACGTTACCGGATCTTCGTGTACAATGTATCTCCTGTAACAGTAATATTCACGCGTGTGGTATGTCGTTGCGGTTTGTTACGTAAAGCGTAGGCGATAGTTAACGGCAATAGCCGCTTTATGAGTCTCCGCTTAATCACTCCAAATCGCAACAAAGTTCCATGCTGTCCCTACAATTATCGGAGCATTCCATTCGGACGCTACGTTAATTGCATTGCAAGTTCATCTAAACGCATCTAATTCATCAATCCATGTGAAACGCGCGCGCGTTCAACCATTAAACGTTCATTCTTGAATTCGAGCATCAGGAGAATCTCATTCGAAAAGTATGGAGATTTTCGAAGAATTTTTTTTTTTCAAAAATATGAATATACTTCTCAAATTTATTATATATATCGAAAATATAAAAAAAAAGATTTTAATCTTTGATATATCTATGTACACGTAAAAATCTAAATAGAGATTTCCACATAATTTTTTCTTCTTAAAAGTAAGAGAATATATTTCTCAATGATTTTTCTCAATGAATTACATATGAATATATTATGAAAAGAGAAAATTTAATCTTTGCTATATCTACTTTTCTCTTATTGCGAGAAGGAAATACGATTACGTAACTGTGTGACTGTGTTGAAACGGGTTTAATGCACATCCATATCTATGAATGATGGTGGACGATCACCGTTCCATTGACCAGTTATGCCTTATGTGCGCTTCGAGACAATACCGTTCACTCCTGAACGGTAAATTGTGTGGTAAAATTACAATTTACGAAAAGTACGGTAATAACTTTTTATTACTTCGATGAATTACTGTATAGATCGCTATTTCTCGAAGCAACTCGTTTTCAAGTCAAGAGAGAGTAAAATAAAGATTTTCTCTTCCCTTCTGCTCGATGTTTTTCGTTTCTCTTATGCTATAATAAGAAACACGTAAAAATGTTTTTAGAGAGCGGAAATATACACCGTTCGAATTTCACGAAGCAATATAAACTATAGGATTTCAACAATAGGAATCGAGATTGCCAATGTTTACATTTTTTCATTTTTATTCAACTTGAAATTGAATGTATCAATATTTCGATACTACACTGAAGAGGATCCAAATCAAGGTATCTACTTTTATTTTATTAATATACTTTTACACACAATTACTAATGTCGGTTCGTATGGGCTTTTTTCGAATTTAACAACATTTTGAGTTTTTATTCGATTCATTTGATATGTTAAATCGAGTTTCAACCAATTAAAATGAATATTTTTATCTTTTGTTGCAGTTTTATAAATTAAAGTTAATTGAATTCTTCCCAAATATTTCTGTAAAATTTTAGATATGCCTTTATGTTGTTTAATTACACAGTTTCCAGGAATAAGTACGTTGCAATTATAAGAACTTAAATAGTTACTGTTTGCTAATATATCCAAAAATTTAATTATAAAATATCTAATTATAGTTCTATTTTTCTTTTTGTATTTTTTTATTTGCTTTGTTTTTTTTTAAGTTTACCTATATTTTTATAAAAACACGTTTCAAAATAATTAATAATTTTAATTAAATTTACAATACATAAACATTATTATGTTTTGAATTGATGTTGAGTATGCATTGGACTGCAAATTGGAACGTAAAATGTAATATATACATATATACACGAAATTAAGTAATTGTTCTTTTGAACATCTCTCATTACATTTAAATAAATATGTCCAAATAACATATAATTAAGAAATCAATATTGGAAAATATCCAATAAATAACCTGATAAATAACTTAACGAAATCAAAACGGATATTCATATCATGAAAATGAATATATTGAAACAATTTTAAAAATTATACATTAATATCAATTAATGAACCTATTTAATCTTGCAAAAAAAGCTATCATTGTTCGACTGTTAACATTTTCAGGTAAATATTTTACTTATTTTCAATGTCTATAACGTTTGATAATGTCAGTTTTATCGCTTCATGTATTATTGTTCGCGAAAACTTTCATATGGATGAAAGGATAAACCAGCGAAAAAATGCCGATAAGCGATAAATAACGAATAGCTCGGTCCACCGCTAAGGCTACCATCTCGCGCGAGCAATTTCATGGAACATCGCGTATGTCCTGCGGACAATAACGGATCACCGTGAGAATACGATGCAGCGCGAGCCGATATCTTTTATGAGCAATTTCATGAAAAACTGTTTCTCTTTATCTCACACCATCGTATGGCTATGGAATCGACAGAACAAGAGATCAGAGAAACGCGACAATCATCCATGCGTCCGTCTATTCTTGATTACGTTTTCTTTAATTAGTAATAACGCAAAAATCGAATATCATCGCTACAATAAACAGTAAAAACAAAAAAAAGCTCGAAAGCCAACGGTTATATTGCAGTTATATTGAAGGATTTTGAAGATAGATTCCGTATTCGTTCGTTTTAATTTCCTCGTCATGTGTTCACGCTTATCTCGGCAGGAAATTACACATCCCGAGCAATTAACGTTTCGCGAATATCACAAAAAGAGAGTTTAACGCGAAGTAATGATATCTTAATGTAGAGATCATTTGAAAGAATCATGGTTTCATTTGGAAAAAAGCGCAATCTACTTAAATTGTCATGCACAAAAATTGTCCAACTAATTGTAAGCTTAATCAAAGTAGATACTTCTGTTTTTTTTAATTAATGTTGGCTTTTTTAAGTTGGTATTTTTTAATTGAAAATATAATATTTTAATCCTTTTATTTTTATTAATGACTGAAAAAAGCTTTATGGTGCGAATAATAAATTAAAACATATTCTTAAATATATATCTAAAATTAAATATACCGATCTTTAAATATCATCCAACTTTAAAATATATTTTCTTGCTTTGATTAAAGTTATTATATTCTGACAAAATAAGATATAATACAGTTAAATAAAAAGCTATCTCTTTAACTGACATTAATGAATATACAAGAGCATAACTTGAGAAACTACGATTTCTGAAGAGAAAGATCTTCCACAAGGACTTTTTACCACAAGTAGTGTGACTTCTACAAAGTGAAACGGAAGAACTTAGAAATATCGTATTTCAAGACTGGCATCACTATTT